CCAGTGTTGGGACTATCTAGATAAAATTATCTAAAAGATAATCTAGATAACGTCAAAATTATCTTTAATCTTTTATCTAGATAAATCCAAAGTATCTTTATCTTATACTTATCTTTTTGAATTATTTCTGTCGATAGATAACAGATATTAAATCAAGCAAATTGGTGATTTATTTTTTAATTTTAGTTTTTTTTTTTCGTTTAAATGAGAATAATAAGATTTCATTATTTTATTAGCCATTTATCATAATCATCTTAATAATAGAATAATAATTGAAATATGTGAACTGTGACGGGGTACTAATAATAGCAATAATTGAATATTGCTTATTATAAACGAATTCGATAACGATGTATGTCTTCAATCGATCATTGGAAAAACCACTAGTACAGCCAGAATATTAAATTCGTTGAACCAGACGGATTTTTGTAAATACGAATGTTATTATCTTCATACAACTTAATGTTAACTTAAACAACCAAATTAAATTCAGTTAAAAAATTATGAATAATGCAAGGCCACTTAGTAAGAATCAATTGTACAGATATTAAGATAATATAGGTAGGTATTAATAAATAATAGGCAATTTAAATTAATCTACATCAGCTGTTAATCATTTATTTACCTATTAACTTTAAAGAATATTCCATCGAACCTTAAACCATTAAATAAAAGAGTTGTTTTAAAAAGATAGCCAAGAGTTAGACCTTAAATTTTATTTTAAATAATTATCTTTTATCATTTTATTTCATCTAGATAACTGAAAGATTATCTTTTATCTTTATCTTAGATAAATCTTTAGTCATTATCTTTATCTTTAATCTAGATAAAAATATTGGTTATCTTTCCCAACACTGATCATTACTCGGCGGCCTAGTTGTGCGCATGGGCGTGGCTTTGTCCCGTGGCAGCGCCTGACGCGCCGCCGCTGACGGGAGCGTCGCATTAGTTTAGTATCAATCGTCGATAAGTTCAAATAATTTAAAATGCATTGGCGTATATTATTATAAGCCACTCCGTCACGCGACGTGGTTTACTTACCCACACTAATAATATTATGTTTTGTTTTATATACTTAGGCCCATAGGCGTGCGTAGACTTTGACCGCAAGGGGGGCCCTTAAAAAGGTCCGAACTAAAGATTCTTGTGTGATGATAATTGATTAATTAATAATATAATAACTTAATCACATTTATATTTTATTTATACTATTAGATTAAAACTGGCTTCACTTTTTTTTTGTAAAATCTAAAACTTTCGCTGTCTAGTATAATATACATATCTATGCATTTATTAAAGAAAAAGCCAGAGGCCGCAGAGGGGGCCGCCGCCCCCCGCCCCCCCCTGTGCGCACGCCTATGCTTAGGCCATATGAATTATGAAGTAAATATAATTTATAATATTAATTTGTTTATTAACATGCTATGCATAAATTAAAAATTATCATCAATATCATTATTACAATTTAAATTTAAAAATATATACAAATACAAATGTCAAATATAAAAAATATCTTCAATATCATTATAACAACTTAAATTGAAAAATATATAATTTACAGTTAATCATCTGAAGAATCTGAAGTATCACCAGTTATTGTGAGGATGCAGGGTTCAATTTGGGTCAATTTGTCTTCTTCCGTCTTGACGTGTTGGATAAAATTTTGCCAATTCTCGCTACTGACACGTTCAATTGCCGTGTTCAAAAGTACCCTAACGTCATCAATTTTGAATGTCGTGTTGTTTTTCTTGACATAACTCTTCACCATTGCCCATGCCAATTCTATTGGATTCAATTCACAGTGGTACGGAGGTAACCTTAATACAGTATGATCTGCATCTTTAGCCATATTGTCGACAACGTAAGAAACATATCTCCCCTTGATCTCCTTTACCTTCGCGAGTAGTTGTGGCTTAAACATAGGTCTATCAATGACAACGCCTTTTGATATTAGCCATGACAAAATGTCTTGTTTTTTTGAAGAGCTCGTTGGTATTCTTTCTGTCCTTACTGAGTGGTACGGGGCATTGTCTAACACAATCACCGAATTTGGATCGAGACGAGGAATTATGGACTCGAACCATTCATGGAAATTGTCGCCGTTCATCTCGTCGTGGTAGTCAGCACTGTTCTTCTTGGACACAAAACACAACAAACCGCCTTCTAAGAAGCCGTTATGTGACCCAATATGTAATACAATGAGCCGTTGACCCTTACCAGTCGGGTTTGTTGCGCCAGTTGTTAAACCTCTATTAAAGGCGTTGTGTTTTGATTGAATAGTTTTGTCGACCCACAGTTTTTCTACACAGTTGCCTGCATTAATCCAGGTTTCATCGAAATAATACACGGTACGACCTTCTTCTCGATATTTTCGAATATCATACAAAAAGTTCTGACGCCAAACAAGTAAATCTTCCCTCTCTGTTAATACACTGCATCTCTTCCTTTTTGTGAATACAAAGTCCAATTTTTTTTATCGTAGTATACAATGTTGTCTGTTTGAAGTCTGGAAGAGCCGGATCACTGTTCACTGCTTCCGAAATTTTATCGATTGTCAGCAATTATTTTTTCATCCAAAAACCATGAACTTTTTGGCGTAGTGCATTTCTGTCCAAGTCATCAATTTTATCGAACAGACTCTTTTTGCTACGTATCTTGTTAGGAGATGAAACAGTTCCGGTAGTTTTGTATTCGGAAATTGTAGTACAAACAGAATTATAGCCAATACCCAACGTTCGAGAAATGTCATTCATTAACTCTTTATACGGCATATTTGGGTTTTTTGATTTTAAATCCTTATATAAATTAACTATCATGGTTTTTTGACGACTCATTATCTACTAAAATATTTTTTTTTTAAATGTCATTATTGTAAATTTTAATAGTTAGGTGTGCGCGATTATTATTTTTTTAAATAATCATTTGCGTATTGATTAATCAATTATTCGATTATATTATAAAATTAATCGACTGTTGATAATTTTATAATCGCATTACACGATTGCAAAAACCATTGATAATTTAGAAAAATTCCCTTTTAAAAGTAGAAAATTATGATAATATTTATTATATTTTAATACAGCGGATACAAGAGGCAAATGTTAAATAAACAATTAATAAAATGAAAATTTATAATATTTTACTCACTTTTCCTTGAACATTCCTTCTTTTTGGAGAAATAGTATCGTTCATGTTTTCTGGTTCAAGAACATCATCTGAACGAGCACTCATTGTAGATATTAACGTTAAAAATGTAAGAAAAACGATAAAAAACAATTGGTGTTTTCGTGGAGATAATAATAACGGAGGAACTACGGAGCTGGTGTCGACGTAGAGAGTGGAGCACAAATGCAAAGATATGTGAAATGTACAGCAACATATGGCGATGCACATCCAGATGTAGATTTAAAGGACACATTCCAGAGTAGGTAACCCGCCATTATATGAGTATACCCACATTTCTGGACAAATTATTTTTTACAGGCGACGCATGACGCGCGCACGCACATACACCCTGACAACGCATGACGCACGCACGCACAGGACAGGCCACCGTAGCCTTGGTCACGTGATCGATGCTTGTAGGCGGAGTCTGACCGCCGCGCCGCCGGACGAAAACTGGTCGCCGCCGAGTAATGATCTCATTTTGAATAGAGTATAGATAATAATAATTAATAATACTTATAAATTAATAATATTCTATTTTTAATTCTCATTTAGGTACCTAATTGGTATACTTATTGGTATTTACTTGTACCATCTAAAAAACTTTATGAMATTATTTACCAAGTAATATAATAATATATAAATATATAATAAATATAAATATGCAAACAATTTACATATTTTATGTATTATGTATTTGTATATTTATTAATAATAATAATTATTAGTTTTAGCTCGAAGATGCCATTTGCTCAATTATTGCAAAAACTAAAATACAAAAAAAATGTATTATTTCTAATATTAGATGAGCTAAGGACACTGTCCTTAAGACAGACAAATTTTATATAAAATGACTCGAGTGTGATGAACATGTAAATGCATTAACCAAAAATATAATAACATTTTATTTACATACCAGAATGTATTTTGTATGTGAGAAAAAATTAAAAACAAAAAAACTTAGCTAAGCACTAAGCAGTCTAAACTCATATTATACCTAACAATGTAACATATAATTGTTAAAATATAATACTTTTAAAATTAAACTTCCTTCATATAATCTATATTCCATTGTACATAATTGAATAGAATAATTACTTACAAATAATTCTTACTTGGTTAATATCCTAAATTCTTAACTAATAGTATCGAAAACGACAAAAATATATATAATTTTTATCATTTTACTTTAAAAACAATGTAATCGTAATATAAAAACCGACCTTCAGGCGAATGGTGGCGCTACCTACCATACTGCCGAGAAAATTTGCGACCGGAATATGTACAAGTGGTGTCACCTTACTTCTCTACATAGTGGTTACAACATATTCATACTTATATGTCTACTATCAGGCCATGGTTAGAATTAAACATTATAAACCCTTAATTTTTTTTTTTTAATAACAAAATATACAACTATACAATTAAGCACAACAAGTAATAATGATGAAGAGGATTACATAACATGAAAAATGGCACGATGTAGGAGAGCTCCCAATGGAGCTACCTACTTGGGTATTTTGTTAATTAATGGAGGAGGTCTCTAACCCATTTACGTTTGAGCCTTCGTGGGGTGTTGTGAAGCAAGATAACTAATGATGGGGTTTCTATGGGAGCTAAATTCTTTGTGGAGTTTTTGGTAAGCAATTTTACTTTTTAGTGACTTGGTTTTGTTGTAATACCTAATATTACATCTATAAATGTACGACATTTAATAAACAACCGTGAATGGGGATATCACAACTAGCACAAAATAAGTAGCGACTCGTCAATTATAAAGACATAGATCAGCATAATTGTCAAAGCGATGCACTACTTATAGCCATGCGAGTAACACACATGACCCTACTCTCTGGGACCGTATTGAAGAATGTGAACGATTTCGAGGAGAAGGCCGTCTTGTGTGAAGTGTTGTTCATGTCACTACCGTATATACGTAAGCATTATATCTTTATTTATTTATTTATCATTACTTATTATCTATTTAGACCGATGGTAATTATTGTTAATTTAAATTATAACAATTTACGTAATTTATTCTCAGGTCAGAGTGAAGGGTTTTGTTACTTACATACCAGGGGGATTTTGTAATAGTGCGAAGGAACATGAATTGGAATGATTGTATTTTTTGAATGTTACTTGGGGCAGCGTTACCCCAAATTTGAATACCTTAATACCATAGAGGAAAGATCAACATTTTGTAAATAAGGATTTTGAGTTTAAAGTATAATTTTAATCGTAAGAAAGGACGTAGGAAATGTAATCTGGAGTTTAGTTTCTTTCTTTTGTCAAATATAATATGGTCTTTCCAAGTTAACCTTTTGTCGAAAATGAATCTTAAGTATTTAACTTTTTTTGTTTGGGGTAATAATTGGTTACAAAGTTTGACTGGTGGGAACCCTTAATTTATGCTTAATATTTAATTATAATAGATTATAACTAACAGCTTTATTTATTTTAGAAATTCTGAAAATTGAATGCAGATATTTAAAAAAAAATTGCACTACTTATTTCAATCATGTTGGATATAATATAAACATAAGATTAAACTTTAAATATATTTAAGATGCATATTAATATAAATCGTGTAAAAACAAATAATTATTTAAAATTAAATCAACTTACTTTCCTCTATAATCGACAGAGAATATCCGATAATAATTAATAGGTGTATAATATATTTAATAACTATAAAATATTCATTAAATGTTATKATTAAACTGGAAAATCAATTGATTTACTTCAAATGTTTGCAATGAATTTTCAAGGTTTTCGGTAGAATATAAATTTCGAAACAAAATAATAAAATTAAGGTAAAAAAAATCATTTGAACTTAATTTGAAATTGAGTTCATAGTAAGTTATAACATATTCTTACTGATATATTTACTATCAGGCAATGCATAGAATTAAACATTATAAACCCTTAATTTAAGCTTAATCTTTAATTATAATATATTATAACTAACAGCTTTTTTTATTTTAGAAACTCGGAAAATTGAATGCAGATATTTAAAAAAAAATCACACTACTTATTTCAATCGTGTTGGATATAATATAAAAATAAGATTAAACTTTAAATGTATTTAAGATGCATATTAATATACTCGTACTTCGTGTAAAATTAAATAATTATTATAAATTAAATCAACTTACCTTGTACTATAATAGACAGAGGATAACCGATAATAATTAATAAGTGTATATTATATTTCATAACAATTATAAAATATTCATCAAATGTTATGATTAAATTKGAAAATCAAGTGATTTATTTGAAATGTTTGCAATGAATTCTCGAGGTTTTCGGTAGAATATAAATTTCGAAACATAATAATTAGGGTAGAAAAATCATAATCATATTTGAATATTAATGTGATTAATTTGAAATAGAGTTCTTAGTTATAACATATTCTTACTTATATGTCTAGGAAAATAGGAAATAATTTAAAACATATATATACACATACTATTTAATGTATTATKCATTCAATATATTAATGTAAAATGTCATAATTTAAAATCTAAAGCCTTTCCTTTTTAGACGCAAGCATATTTAAAATAGCATCTGTATCAATTTGTATGTCTTTGTGGATATTCATAAGAGCTAACCCGCTTAATCTTGCCTCACCCGTAGAGTTTCTTAAATAGGTCTTGATTCTTTTTAAAAAAGAAAAACTTCTTTCAACCGATGCCGTTRATACAGGCAAAATAGCAAGAAGTTTTAATAAAATATTTATATGTGGG